TAAATAGATTTCATTTAAAAATTTAAAAAACTTATTGATAAGCATGTGCAGCAACCAGAACTCTCATTCGCTACTTGTGGAAGTGCAAAGTAAAAAAGCAAGTTTGATAAAGTTTGCAAGGGCTTACAAAGTATCTTACCAATTTTGTCAACATAGGGACACAATACCCAATTCCTACAACCTAAAAGAGGTTTATTTGGGCTTATGTATTTTTAGATTTTGTCCACAGTCAGCTGGCTCCAAGGAAAAAAACAGCATGATGGAATGGCAACAGCAGAAGGGGATCTATTCAAGTCATGTTGTTTAGGAAACAGAGACTGAAGGGAGAAACAAAGGAGGGAGACACACCCTTCCAGCTCACACCCCCAATGACTGACCTCTAACCAGGCATGTGATAAGTTACAACCCATTCAGAGCAGTCATTTCGTGGTGATCTACTGATCTATGCATGAGAAAAGCAGTTTTCAAAAGTTGAGTCATAAATCAAATACACAGGTTGAGAGTGAATGATGGGAAAAAATACTTTGTGCTACTGGAGTACAACAGCAAACACCAGTTGTTCTTCTCTTTTCAGACAAAACATACTTCAAGCCAAAACTGATAAGTGACAAAGAAGGTAATTAAAAACTGGTAGATGAAGCAACAATAGTAAATATATACTGTATATATCAAATGGCAGTGTACCTAATTTCATAAAACAGAAACTATGGATATAAAAGGACAGGTAGATGGGAAGGAGGCACTTGCCTGTAGAGTTTAAATCTGCACCCTACCCTTCCTCTATCATCACTAGAAAGGTAGTGCCAGTGAACTGAGTGTAAGTCTGTGCCCTATACTTCCTCCATTGCCTGGGAACAGGAATTCCAGTGGGAAGGGTATAAGTCTGCATTTTGCCCTTCCTCCATTGACCCCAGACATGAGTGGAGTGATAGTGTATGCTCTACATTTTCTCCATCTCCCTGGGATGACAGAGCTTGTGAATGGAGTGTGTCTGTACCCTGCCCTCCCACCATTGTCCCTGTGATGGCGATGGTGAGAATTGTCAAGAGGAGTGTAGGTCTACACTCTGTTTGCTCTGTTTCCCCAGAATAGTGGGGCTCGACAGTAGAGGCTAGGTCCACACTCTGGGTATTCTCCACTGCTCTAGAGCAGCTTGCTCATGAGGCAAAAATGACAGTGCCAATGAGAGAAGTGATGGTGGGGCCAACTAGAGATGACATCCTGAGGAATATATACCTCTTAGGAAAGCCTCTACATCAATGATAAGTCTATCTAACTTTAGAAATCTAAAAGCATCATTACAGAAAAAAAATAAAATAGAAAATGACAGGATAAAAAATCAAAATGCAATCACAAACATCCAGCCCACCCAGGACAAGTCAACGACATAAGAAGACAGAGAAAATAGGAAGCCAACAGATGGAGCTCTTTGAAATGAATGTTGCAGAAGTAATAAAAAAAAGATGAAACCAGTCATAGAAAAAATAATTTCTAAAGTTTAAAAGAAACAACTATCAAAATAAAAGATATTAAACCAATCAAAAATAAACAAATAAAGGACCTAAAGAAACTGATGGAAACCATGAATGCCAAATATAGACAAAAAATTGAATCTATGTAACAGATCCAAACAGAATTGCTGGAGATAAGAAATTCCATTGCAAGTATATACAGCAGATTGAATGAAGGCAAGAATAGAATAACAGATCTAGAGGACAGAAATGTGATTAGCAAACAGGAAAAGAAAGACATCTTAAAACCCACAATAGAACATAAAAAATAAATCCAACAGCTACAGGATGAAGTAAAGAACAAAACAGTATGGATTGGAATGTGAGAGAGCTGAAGATAGCTCAAATGCCATTAAAAACCTCTTTATAGAAATAATGGCAGATACCATGCGTGATGGCACACACCTGTAATTCCAGCACTCTGGAGGCTGAGGCAGAAGCATCATCACAAGTTTGAGACCATCCTGGGCTACAAAGTGAGCTGAAAGCTAGACTAATCTCCATAATAAGACCTGGTCTCCAAAAGAAAGAAACGAAAGAAAAAAAAATGGGAGAAAACTACTTAAACATGTATAAGGAATTTGACATACAAAAAAATGAATCATGGAACTATAGTCACAACCAAAATAAATCCACAACAA